TCCTTGTGTGGCGGCACATGTTTTGTGTAAGTTTCAGCCAGATCGGACGGTAAATAAAGTTTTTATTTGGTACCCCGTCGAAAAATAACGGTTTTTCGCAAATATGACCTTGACCTTTGACCTTGATCGGCGATTTTGTTGATTGTGACGCATCCTTGTGTGGCGGCACATGTTTTGTGTAAGTTTGAGCCCGATCGGACGGTAAATAAAGTTTTTATTTGGTACCCCGTCGAAAAATAACGGTTTTTCGCAAATATGACCTTGACCTTTGACCTCGATCGACGATTTTGTTGATTGTGACGCATCCTTGTGTGGCGGCACATGTTTTGTGTAAGTTTGAGCCCGATCGGACGGTAAATAAAGTTTTTATTTGGTACCCCGTCGAAAAATAACGGTTTTTCGCAAATATGACCTTGACCTTTGACCTCGATCGGCGATTTTGTTGATTGTGACGCATCCTTGTGTGGCGGCACATGTTTTGTGTAAGTTTGAGCCCGATCGGACGGCAAATAAAGTTTTTATTTGGTACCCCGTCGAAAAATAACGGTTTTTCGCAAATATGACCTTGACCTTTGACCTCGATCGGCGATTTTGTTGATTGTGACGCATCCTTGTGTGGCGGCACATGTTTTGTGTAAGTTTCAGCCCGATCGGACGGTAAATAAAGAAGTACCTTATTGTTGTTTATAGCCAGAGTGGTTTTTTGCCCCTAGAGGTCAAAATATTTGACCTAGGAAAAAATGAGTGATATTTTTGGAATCAGCGTGTCAAGATCTATCGGTTGGCATAGTTTGGCGATGTTTTGAACTCGACGCTGAAAACGAATACGAATACGACGCTAACTTGATGGACATTTGTCACCATCAGATTCCTTGCACCATTGCGCGTCGAATGATATGTAAAACGAGTGAGGAACGACTGGGGAAAGGCAAGATTTCACACAAAAGTTGATTTTGCCCCCCCCCCCCCAACCGAAAATCTCTGGCGACGCCTATGCGGTGCCTCACAATTTTTCATGAGGCCAGGAACCGTTGGGGCAGCTTGTCCTCCCCAATTTAGGGGTTGTGAGTCACAAAGGAAGAAAGCATGTGAGTGAAAAATCTACCTATTTTACTGACTCGGCAACTCATTTGGCAGCTTAAAACCTTTATTCCAGGTTGCCAAAACGGTAGTTTCTTCACTCAACGGAGACGGAATACCTCACTTTTTTTGCAAATATTTTCTTCTTTTTTTTTTCGTTGAAAAGGCCAAGGTCTGAAAAATAAGTGGCCTAAAACCGATGAGAAAACTAGATTTGGGGGTATCCTAGGTTGATCTCTATGATGGTTCAGCCCCCCCCCCCCCCCAGTCTGGAAGAAGTTCCCGCGCCATTGATGATGCACCTTTTTATTCTGAATCGGCATTCCTTTTTTAATTGATTGCCGTTTTCCCATAGTGAATCGCTCAACTGTGCACAGCATGGCGGTTAAAAATGTTTCGCAACTCATATTTCCTATTTGCGCCTGACATGGTCGCAAATAGCTCAAGAAGGGAAAGAAAGGGGAAAAGAGGGAAATGAAAATGAGGTGTTGCTGAAGCTTGCAATGTGTGACAGGGGATGCCAAATGTCGTCACCGACTGCAGGGGTGCCGAATTCAGCGCGGACCTCGAATATCAAACAAGATAGCCCGCAAAATTTGAGTTTCCGCCTTCTTTTCGCCTTCGGTGCATCACGTGATCAGTTTTTACTGACGTAAATGTGTTGGATAAACGTTCTTGTTCGAGTGATTGAGTGCTTTGCGCATAGGTTACCTTTTTGAGATCATATTTCATCTTTTCAGGCGTCGCTTTGCCATTTTTACTATGGGGAAACCCATAGACTTATTAGCGACCCTCCCCGGTCGCTAATCGGGAAGAGTTCCCTATTAGCGTTTTTTGCAATGGTTTGCCAAAATGCTCACTACAAATAAGTTAGTGAATATTGGGGCAGAAAATGACTATATTTTAATAGAAAAAATGAACAATCTCTCCGAAAATCAAGCCAGTAACACAATGGCACCCACAGAGCGTGAGCAATGACGGTTCAAATTAAGGGGGTCGCTAATTAGGCACCTTACCCTATAGGGAGTTTTTCTCGAATAACTTTCGAACTAGTCAATATAGGAACAAACTAAGGGCATCATCGTGATCCTCTCGTCAATCCGCATCGAATGATATATATATATATATATATATATATATATATATATATATATATATATATATATATATATATATATATATATATATCATTCTATATATATATATATATATATATATATATATATATATATATATCATTCTATATATATATATATATATATATATCATTCTATATATATATATATATATATATATATATATATATATATATATATATATATATATATATATATATATGTTACAGGCAAAGTGAAAACTCGGGCATTTTGCAAAATGCCTAGGCAATTTGCAAAATGCCTGACCGGCTAGGCATTTTGCAAAATGCCCAGGCAATTTGCAAAATGCCTGACCGCCAGGCATTTTGCGAAATGCCTAGGCAGTTTGCAAACTGCCTGACCAACCAGGCATTTTGCAAACTGCCTAGGCAGTTTACAAAATGCCTGGCGGGTCAGGCATTTTGCAAAATGCCTGAGTTGTGATTGATTTATTTTACCGTTTTTGTTTACTACAGGCATTGACCATGTCGCTCCCATGTGCCTGAGCCCCAAACACATTCAATATTTACGAATATACCCACGTCTTGCGCCACTTCCGTCGAGATGGAACCACTACTGAATGGTGTAGATTGAGCCAACGTCTCCCTATAATTTTCGTATACGGAGTTGTAGCCGTTCGTGTGTAGGAATGCTGCGATGGGGCGCGGAGCATGGCACAGAGAAACATGGGCGCGGAAAAACGCGGCGACCGGCCGAATATTGACCCGACATTCTTCGCTTCCCGTGCTTATTTACATCACGGCAAGAGAGGGCCGCAGCGACACGGGGTTGCCAGAGATCGATAGAACAGAGACAAGCGTATCCAATAAACACTTTTGTTAATCACGTGTCACGTGGAAAGAAATAGTCTATATCTTAAGAAATCAGCCATTTTTGGTACATTTCAGGAAAAACAGCATTTAAAAAACAATGGCAATGCATTGGAATGAGATGAGCTACATTCCATAGACAACAAGAACATGTGGTTTTTCTGCATTTCAAGAAAAGCAAGTTTTTGGTCATCCACGACCCACGTGCACACCTTTGTAAGAAAAAGACTCTTAGAAATTACAAGTTTTACATGCAACGGGCATGTTCATCTTTACACAGTCACAATGCATTGATAATGTAGACGTGTGGCTCGCCAACCAAGCTACCATACATCGAAATAACGTTCTTTTCTGATCAATATTCACACAAAGTATTTCCAGAGTCATCAAGGCTCTTAGAAACATAACCGTGTTTAACGCGTGTTTACCGCTAAAACCGCGCCGGGCGCCCGGTAGCCGGCGCGGCGGCCGGGCCGCTCGCGCTGCCTGGGGCTCAGTGACCTTGAACTCGGCAGCGCTACCCGGAGAATGTCTCACTGTGTGTCCTCCCACTTGGTGCGTATCGCTTGTGATTAACCCCTGCTGGCGGCACTTACAGTGATTCTTACGCATCGTCGCTGGTGTGAGTTCGATGTCAGGCATTTTGCAAACTGCCTGAGAAAATAATTTCAGGCAGTTTGCAAAATGCCTGGTGGGCCAGGCAGTTTGCAAACTGCCTAGGCATTTTGCAAAATGCCTGGCCGGTCAGGCATTTTACAAATTGCCTGGGCATTTTGCAAAATGCCTAGCCAGTCAGGCATTTTGCAAAATGCCCGAGTTTTCACTTTGCCTGTAACATATATATATATATATATATATATATATATATATATATATATATATATATATATATATATATATATATATATATATATATATATATATATATATATATATATATATATATATATATATATATATATATATATATATATATATATATATATATGTTGACCTCGAAAGGTCAAGGTCAAAGGTTGACCTCAGGTCACGTGACCTCGAGGTCATCATGTATATCATTCGATGCGCCTTGACGAGCTGAACACAATGAGACCATCCGCGCGGCTGTATCTTGTTCCTGTACGGAGTTATTGGCAAAAAACCGCTGGTGACCTTTGATGACGTCACATAACCTTACAGCTGCCCAACAGCAAAACAGACCTCAAGGTAGTGAAGGTTGATCGTATATGAGGTCATGTATGGTTTATGGGGCCATTCCGACCCGTTTTAGTGGTAAAAAACAGGGAGTTGATTTTCCCCCCATTGACTTATAATAGGGAGGTCGGGAAATTGACCTGACCTTAGGTCATCGATATCGAAATTCCAAGATATACAAATTGTAGCTAATAATGACCTTATAACATCCTGCGACTTTCAAAGGCCTCCGACATCTACTGTAGCTCTGGCACGGTGACAAAGTTGCAAAAAAGGTAATTTGAGGTTGGGTCATTCAAAGCGACCTGGTGACCTGACCTTAAAAGTTAGGAGGTTCAAACTTGCACACCATGTGTAAAATTGATGAGAGAATAGTCGTAACAAATTTCGCGGCGCTACGCGCCGCGGTTTTCCCGCTATTCGCGAAAAAACCTCAGGGGGGGGGGGCGGATATCCGCCCCCCCCGTCGGTGCGCGTGTTAATGCAGATAAATTTATTAACTATAATGCCGATAAACACTAGAGATGAGTCTTTCTCGGGTGGCGAAAAGATGGCATCAAATTTAGCTTTGGTGATGTATTTCACGCTACAGAGACTGAATTTGGAAAAATGGACTAGACAGTGGTGTTGGGTGTTGGGTGGTACTCTTGTGAAAACCGTTTTGTGGCCAGAAGCGGCAGTCTACCTTTGAAAATCCTATCATTAGCTCACTTAGGTGATGTTGTTGGTGTGTGGTCTCCTTGATCCATCATTTTTTTTCTTCAAAACCTTCCATTTTTATTTCGTTTGCCGCAGAGATCACTCCAAAACAGCAATTCAAGGCAAGCGCAACGTGACGTTCACATTAGCCATATGTGCTTGAGGCATATTTAGAAAATCGTACACAAAAGAGCACATATTACACCCTAAGCATCTCGTTTCATTCTTCACGCAACAGCAAGGTCACTTCAGCTCATCAGCCCCTTCAACCACCACACAACTGTGCTTCACTTGACTGCGCACATTCCTCTTGGCAAGGACATAAGTGCTGGCGTACAGCTGTGCTTGCGTGCAAAGTACAGAGCCAATGTTTACAGTTTAGAAGAATAGTTCACTTCAATGATATATCACGGTGAATGCAGACAATCAAGCAGTCTGCCACGATTATACCCTCCTCCTCTTCCCACATCTAGCAGATGCGGCCGGTAGTGCCACTAGCCGAAGCACCGTCACACACGCTTTCCTGGCAGTATACCGCTCATAGAGCATTCGTAGAATAGATATCACGCATATTAACCCGCGAGTTGCTGGGGGGGGGGGGGGGCGTTAAACGCCCCCACTTTTTCGCCGGGCCATAACATAAAAACGGCGCGCCGCAGGCGCGCCAAATTTTGGGTTCCTGTAGGGAATTGATTGAAGTTTATTGTGACAAAGTTTCAAAAAAAAAAAAAAAAATCGGTCGGATTTTTTTATTGAGATATCGAGGTTTTAGTGATGTCATGATTACTGAATTTTCGACCAAAAACGGCATATGTTCAAAAAATCATATAAAATCACAGAATAGACATACAGACATGCCGTAAACGCCATTAGACTGCCAATACCATGAACAATCAAATAGCTATCTTCGATTATTGATTATCGCTCCGCATTTTCCAAAATCTTGAACTGAATCTTGGCAATTTCTCGTGACTACTTCACGACCATGATACATGCATTTCTTAAATTGAACTTTTGGAGCCAAACACGTACACATATGATAAAATGAATGTCACCATCGTGTTCTACGCCCCAAATTACCCATAAAACATGTGTCACAGGTTGCGAATATCAGTTTTGATTTTCGGGGATATGTGCCTACCCGGTTGACCTGACCTTGACCCTGACCTATGCTTGACTGACCCCTACATGGAGCTGAAACTCTTGTAGGCCTTATATGATGGACTGTGCACCGTTTTGACAGAGTTTATGACGAGAGGCGCCCATTGCGAAGTCCTGAAGTCCATGCTACTGAAAGCCCGATTTCAGGTGTTTGACCTGACCTTGACCCGACCTGTGACCTTAAAATTCAACTTTAAAGTACTCATCTGAAGCGTCTCGTCGCGTTCTTTCGTTTGCCGCCTCGTGCGTTTCGCTGCGCCTATTGGTTCTCGAGTTATCGGCTGGGGGCGTTTAACGCCCCCCCCCCCCCCCGGCAAACGGTGGGTGGCGAAATACCCCAGCAACTGCCGGGTTATGTCCAACGGTCACCACATCGTCTCCCCTTCCCCTACAGGCAGCACACACATACACACTCGACTGTCCAAGAGCACCACATTCAGACCCTCGAGAGTCGGCGCTCTGTGTCCTTCAGCCCAATCTCGTCCCTGCCGCGCGTGCCCGACCGTACGGCGGCAGAGGGGCAGTCGGCTGTCCTCCCCCCGTCCTGCTGCCGCTCGGCGCCTCAGTCTCACCACGTTTGGCCCGGCACGCCAGACACCTCCATGGCCATCTCATTGGTGAGGAAATTCACCACCTGGGCGATGATGAGGGAGCGAATCTCGGCGCCGCCGCCAATCGCCAGCATGGTGACCGCAGTCAGCACGTCCTGCGCGGTCAGCCGCGACACCAGGTGGTTGACGCGGCGCTCCAGCTGACACTGCCGGTCGGGAGGTAGCTGCCGGATCACCTCGCCGGCTGAGCGGAACTTGCCGGCCGAGAGCGCGTAGCCGGCGCCGCCGCCGGCCGTGCTGCCAATCAGTAAACCCACCGGACCCATCAGCAGGCCACCGAAGAATGCGCCTGCACCGGCGAGCAGCGCGCCCTGAGCCGAGCCCTTCACGGTGACTCGCATCTCCTCCTCCTCTGCCAGCTGCGCGAGCAGCGCCATCACGTCATGACGGTCCAGCGGCATACTGGCGGCACGGTTATGTCTGAGCAGTACCTAATCACGCCGTCTCCAGTCACAGTGCGGAGAGCGGTGCGGTCCCAAGACTGTCCGTCTTCCAGTGGCTGGGTAAGACCACGTCACCGCTGCGCCGGCACGCCCACCGACTCTGCTCCTTGATCCATCATGGAGGCGGGGGGCCGGGCTGCGGCGCGGCCGGGTGCCGGTCGACTAGCGCTGCTCGGTGGCCAGCTGCATTAGACTGGTGGCCACCTGGTGGCGCAGCTGGGAGCAGCTGGGCGCCTCGGCCAGCACCCAGGCGTCGTCGGTGCCGCTCAGCTGCTGCCGGCACATGGGACACGGCCGGTGCGCCGCGCCGCCGCTCCACTCCTCGATACACACGGCACAGTAGGCGTGCGCGCAGGGCAGCGACGTGTCCGGCCGCCGCTCCAGGCAGATGCAGCAGCAGCCGTCGTCAGAGTCGAGCGCGTCCAGCAGACGCGTGGTGCAGGGCGCCGTCGCGCCGGCCGGCGCCTGCGCCGTCAGCCAGGCGTGCTGCTGCTGCAGCGTGGCACGCGCCTGCAGGAACTGGCGCAGCGAGAGCGGCCGGCGCGCCTCTGCCAGGCCGCCGGCCGACAGCCGCTCGCAGTCGATGCGCACCAGGCCGCGCCACAGCACTGGCGCCGCGGCCGAGCCGGCGTCCACGACGAAACGCAGCCGGCGTCCGGCACCGTCACGCAGCTGATCGCAGAGCGCGTTCAGTGAGTCGACGCGCGCCAGCAGCTGGTCATAGGGCATTGTGGTGAGCTGGTGCAGCGGCGCGGCGCGGCGCAGAACCGTGTCGCGCGCGCGCAGCACGGGCGCTGACAGCGGGCTCGAGTCCGACTGGCCCATGGCGGCTGGACCTCACCTACCGGCACGCGCAGGCTAGATCAGCTGACAGGGTGGTGGCACTGGCTTACCGCAAATCATATTGATTTTTTTTTTTGCATTTGAAAGTCGCCAACAAACATACATCCATTCAAAGGCAAAGCCATTTAACCCGCGCCCCGCTGGAAGGAGGGGCAGAAGCTGCCCCCCTCCCGTTTTTCGCCAATAACTTCTAAACGCGTTACGCCAACGACGGCAAACTTTCAGTACCTTATCATACATCTATTTAACAGTTTTTTTGAAAATTTGAGCGAAATCCGTCGGAAATTTTTTGAGAAAATGACGTTAAAGTGACTCATACTCATACTCATACTCATACTCATATATTTCGGTTACATCCAAGAAATTGGGTTTTCAGTAAACCACGTCATACATTCAGAAGTTCAAAACTCATACCTGTACATACAGGACAGATTCTATAGAGGTTAAAACACACCACACATGATAAACTAACTGACCACATTGACCTAGCGCAGCAGGATTAAACATGCCGTTCCTTAACCTTTTTACGGAACGCCGCCAGACCGGTGCAGCTTCGAACAGGCGCAGGCAACTCATTCCATGAACGAGTTGCGCGACAGATGAATGAGCGCCGGGCAAGCTCAGTTCGCACGCGCGGGACATGAAGCTGACCGTCACTGGTTGCCCTAGTGCTGCGGCTCGACACCGCAGTACGGTGGACGATGCGGCTGCGGATCGAATCAGGGGCATGCGAGTCATGCATCAGTTTAACCCGCGCCCTGCTGGGGGTCCTGGATTTCCACGCCCTGCTGGGGGGGGGGGGGTGTTTGAACACCCCCCCTTGTAACTCGGCTCCTGGGCCACGTAGCGATACGCAGAAGGCGGCGTTCGAAAGAGCGTAAAAAATAATGACGAAATCACTTCGGTCAATTTTTTGGTCAGGTCAAAGGTCAGGTCACCAGAGGTCATTGAAGGCAAAATTTCGCCGATTTCCAGGTCGAATGTCGAAAATTTCCAAGAAGCCAACGCATAACTCGGGAACCAATAGAGCTACAGCGCCGCGGAAAAGCGCATTCGATAGCCCTATTAACGCCCTTTCTGAGTAATTCTCTCAGATTTGACCTAACGTCAACGGTTTTGCCTGCAGGGGGCAAAAACTGCAAAAAAAGCCGATTTTTTCGAAAACAGTTTTTCTGCAATAACTTCTGACCCAAGCCTTGTACGAGCTTACTTTTACCGGCATCGTGTTCCTCTCGTCAAGACGCATCGAATGAACTATGACTTGACCTTGAAAGGTCAACTTGAAAATTTGACCTCAGGTCAAGGTCATGACCTGACCGGAAAGGGTCATGTTGCATATCAGTCGATCCGTATCGTCGAGCTGAACACATCTAAGGCGTTTTCATCGCTCTAGTATGCCTCTATCAAAAGTTATTTGCGAAAAACTGTTAGATACCATTCCTGACCTAAGATGACCTCAGGGCATAAAAAAGGGTCACGGACATCATTTTCAAGTTCAGTGTGTCTATACCACTTGTAATTCGGTGTTTGGGAGTGTTTATAATGTCTTTCATCCAAAAGAGGCGCATTTCAATTTTCTCCCATTGACTTATAATGGGGAGGTCGCAAAATTGACCTGACCTTAGGTCATCGATATCAAAATTCTGAGATATACATTTTGTACATGCTATTGCTCTTAGCAATCGCTGAAAGTTTCAAAGCGATCGGTCACTCGGTGTAGCTATGACAGACATTGAAAGTTTTTATGAGGTGAGGTCACTTCAAGTGACCTGGTGACCTGACCTTGAATGACCTTGGTCTGAAATTTTCACAACATGTGTAGAATTGATGTATGATAAGGTGTACCAAAAACGGCGGCGCTCCGCGCCGCCGTTTTTGAGATATTCGCGAAAAACCACAAGGGGGGGTGTTCAAACACCCCCCCCCCAGCAGGGCGCGGGTTAAATATAACATGCAGATCATGCTCACGCAGTAGCTCCTGTACAGCAGGCCATCCCAGTTCCTTGCGGGACGCTGTCACACGGTCGCAACGTCTGAGGTTCGTTACGATTCTGACACAGAAGTTTATGCATTTCTGCAGTCTCCTGAGCTGTGTGACTGTGCAACCGCCCCATACAGACATGCAGTACGTTATTAGCGGGAAGACTAGCGCTTCAATCAGGAGCTCACGGGTCTCGCGCGGCACGCGGTGTCGAATCCTTGACAGACCTATCAGTACACTATAGCACCGGCGCAAAATGTATGATATGTGTTTGTCCCATGTCATGGCGTCGTCCACGGCGACGCCCAGCACCCTCACCGACTGTACCGGGAAAATTTGAGAGTTTCCAAAATGGATATGGAAGCCAGTTTCGGTTTTCCGAAACTGGCTTCCATATCGGACAGCTGTGTCCGTACTGCTGTGGACACAGCAAGTGATGACTTAATAGGTAGTCCATGAGTTGTGTGCAGACAACACGTTCGCAAAGCTTGGAAACAACAGGTGACGTCATGTCCACCATTTTCGGCTAAAAAACGGCTTTCAAACGCCGCTAACATCTTCATTTCTAAAGGAATCCAGACGTAACAAAAAAGATTATACGTGATTCTACTTTGTCTATCAAATGGTTATCTCGGTTTTTTGAAAAGTATGGATTTCTGCCCATTTTTTTCTTAAAAAAACTGACTTTTGGGAAAATAATGATAAAATCCAAATTTTTTAATGCATCAAAAAACGGAATATATGTCAGAGAAGCGGTCTTTTTGCACCTACATACCAATTTTTAGAAGAATCGGTTCAAAAATGTGGGAGTTTTTCAAATTTTTTGACATGACACACAACATTTTTGAAAAATGAATTTTTGGAAGTTCTAGACCTCTTACAGAAACAAAAATAGCACCATTCGATTCGCCGTGAAAATTGCATCAGATCGACACCTTTTGAGGTCTTAACAACCAACTTCAAAATTTGACCTCGCTTGACCTGACCTCGACCTGAAATTCATCCAGATGTGGTCCATATCACTTATTGAGTGTGCCTATTAACTTCTATGAATAAAATGACACATAAAACATGTGTCGCACATGCCCTTTTCTATATTTCGTTTTTGGTGATCTGACCTTGACCTTTGCATGACATTGTATGCAACGAATATTTACTTGGTAGCCTAAGAACGCGTTTTGGGCAATCAGTCTCAGTCCATTCCGGCAACAACAGTGTAAGGCCGATACTGTAGAAACTCGCATTTTGTGCCCTTAAAGGGACCCTCCCACCTTAACATTAGTTTTGAGTTGAGATAGCCAAGTTTGCGGCCAGGCTCAGAAACCACCATTTATCCTGGTCGCAACCCCCGCAGCTTTATGGTGTTCAAGAAATGTCTTCCCTTTACTTGCAGGGTGGGACCAGCGTGGTCCCTATCTCTTAACCATTACGAGAATCTGATGACGTCATCAGGCTTTCGAACGTCCGTTAAATGTTTGACTAAAACGTTTTGTAGCACGCGGTGGTATATGCTGCTTTGCGCGCAACAAATGCCGCACTTTCAAATAAAGTCGCTAGGAACAGCGGAGATCCCAAAAAGTAAACAAAAGTAAAAGTCTAATATCATGAAAACCGGTGAATATTTTTCTATGAAATTTGGTAGATATTCGTTTTTGCTCTTTCTGAACCGAGCGACATCACTTTCATGCCAATTCATTAACTTTTTTGAAGGTGGGAGGGTCCCTTTAAACTGACCTTGACCTGAACTCTGACCTACTTAAAGTGACCATCCCACCTGAACATTAGTTTTGAGTTGAGATAGCCAAATTGGTGGCCATGAGCCTTGTTCGGGTCCGCGCAAAATATTTTGCTGAGTGTGAAGTCACACATGCGATGATGTCAGCCGCCTGGCTCCGCCCATTCTCCGCCCCCTCTCCGCCGAGCGCTGTTCGGCAGCAGGCTATTTTGTGTGCAGGGTATGACGTATTTCGCGAGCCGACGTCACAGGCGGTGACTCACGCGCGAGCCGAGCGCCAACGACAAACTAACGGAACCCTCGGACACCCTCGGGGCATAAACCGCGGAGTAGCATATTGAGCGAGTCTTATAAGGAAAATTCATATATTTTCGTTTCTCAAAAGATAATCAGGGTGTCTCTTACCTTTTTACATATCATTTAGGCTTACCTAACACTTCAGTTGTCAAATATCTGCAATTTATTCAAGCGAAGGTATTCTCAGTAAATATCAATGGTATAGACCGAAATCTTTTGAATAAAAACTCCAACCAACAGAAATAAAAATAACTTAATTTATTCCAACCATTTCCTCCAAATAAACAACATAAAAACTCACTTTTACACACATCATTCATAATAAAGCATACTAACACGCCGCTTTTGACAATTGCGGCGTCGAGTGGCGCGCTGCTAGCGCTCTTTTTCGATCGCAGAGACCCTGCACGCGCGCGAGCACACTACGTCACGTCCGGGGGGCACAGGTATATGAAAAATCGCAGTGACGTAACACTTTTCTCGCTTCTCATTGGTCAATAGCCCGTTGCCGGGGTAACGTGCACGTATGTGAGCGCGGGCAAGAGTACTAGCCGGCCGCCGATCAGAGCCCTGTTCGGGTCCGCGCAAAATATTTTGCTGAGTGTGAAGTCACACATGCGATGATGTCAGCCGCCTGGCTCCGCCCATGCTCCGCCCCCTCTCCGCCGGTTCGCAAGGCCGAGGGCCACGCGACACGCGGCGAACCGTGGCGCGGATGGACTGGTGTGTTTCGTTCAATTACTAAGTAAAATGCGTTCAAATGTGGTTAATAGCAATGTGCCACTGAAAAGAAAGATAATGATAACAAAACAACACCATCCTAACCACTTACAATAAGAAATATATGAGGGTAAACTTTAATCCGCGCCACTTTCGCCTCCTGCAGCTACTATTTTCTTCTTGCGCAAAACTGAAAGATTTTGCGCGAGCCTACGTCACACGTGTGACGTCATACGCCGAAGGGCGGAGCTTGGCACCCGAGAGACCCCAACTGCGCATGCGTGGTGCAAAATTTTACAATAGGATGCGCTGCCCGAACAGGGCTATGGCCTGCAAATACCGGTTTGGGCACTCACTCACAACATCGAAAAATCCTTTAATTCGGAGATATGGAATTCCAAACTTGCAATTTTTGGATTATGAGGGGCTAATGCATTGGAATGCCCCTTAGAATTTGTGACGTCAGCGGAGATCTAACGATTTTTAAATCTCAGACTAAAACCATCGTTAACACGTGGTGGTATACGCTGCTTTGCGCGCAACGTCTGCCGCACTTCAAGGCTGCCAAATTATTGCTTCCAAATAAAGTCGCTAGAAACAGGAGAGATCCAAAAATTAAACAATAGTACCTAAAAGTCTAATATATTGAAAACCGGTGAATATTTTTCGGCGAAATTTGGTAGGTACTCGTTTTCGCTCTTTCTGAACCGAGCGACATCACTTTCATGCCAATTCATTAACTTTTTTGAAAGTGGGAGCCGGGAGGGTCCCTTTAAGGCGCAGTGGAAGGGGGGCGGATTTCGCCCACCCCTCATTTTTTTCGCAATTTTTTGCAAAAAAAAATTCGCAATTTCGCAATTATTTTGGCCAATAACTCGCGCCGCAAACATAATATTAATGTGAAATTTTGGCTTCCTGTCCAGAATTGAATTGCGGATCTTCTCGTGCAAGAAATAAGAAAATCGGTTCACAAC